GGCTGGCCTCGAACTCACAGAGATCCACCTGCCTCTGCCTCCCGAGTGCTGGGATTAAAGGCATGCGCCACCACCACCTGGCAAGAAAGGGTTTATTCTGGCTTAGTTCAAGGTACAGTTAGTTGGTCGCGGTGGGGCAGTCAAGGTGGCAGATGCTTGAGAGCTGAGCCACCTCTCCAGTCCTTCCGGCCTCCTCCCACTGCATGGGAATGGCACTCATGCATCCATGCAGGCAAAACACTTGCACACATCAAATAAAAATAAGTGATTTTTTCAAAGAAAGGACTAACAGTGGGCCGCATGAGTGAATGTACTCAAGGACCCTAATTATTGTTGGGGGCTTTTCCTTTATGGGGTTCAAGGGAAGGAGGAGTTTGTTGCTAAGGAACATAATGAGGTTGGTTCTTATTTTGATTGACAGGTTTAAGTTCTGTAACTGCCCGTGCATGCCCCTTCCCATGATGCACTTGATTTTGATCATATGCATGCCCAATTGTGCATAGGCATGACTGTGAAGAGGGAAAAGGTCACTCTCAGGACACAGTTTGCCTCATTGCACTCACACCCAAAAGCAGTTCATGAGCTGGTGAGATGGCCCAGCCGGTAAAGGCACTTGCCCCCGGCCTGACAACTAGAAGTCCTGCCCCAGGGCCCATGCGATAGAAGCAGAAAACCGACTCTCACGGATTCTCCTCTGTCCTCTACACGGGTGCTGTGGCAAATTTTTATATATATTTATAATTATATATAATATATATAATTTTTATAATTATATATATAATATATATAATTTTTATTTTTTTTAAAGTTTCAGCCTAGATCTGCCCATTTTTTTTTGGTTTCAGGATATGGTCTGGGACATGTTTAAAGAGAAACGAGGCCTCATCTGAGGGTCACTAAGGGGAGTAGCTTGTGCCCATTGTTTAAAGCATGTACACACGCAGCCCAGTGCAGGCAGGAGTTCTAAGATGCCACCAGGTTGCTAGATGCGTTGTCTGGGTGAGTGTGGGTAGGACGTGCAGGTTAGGGGCTCAGGCTACTGCATGCATTTTTGGAAGACAGTGTGTATTGTCCAAGCCTAGAGGTGCCCTCGGGCACTCAGCTGTTTCCTGTGCTCACATGCATCATCCGGATGGCCCTTGGCTGCAGATTTTAGACAGTAAACATAGACTCTTTTAGCTGTGGCAGATAGCATCAGCCCATCAGAGGATGGCCCCATGACACCCACCCCCACCCCCCCACCCCCCGCCCCAGGAAAAGTACGTGTTTCTCAAACCTGGGCATTACACTGGTTCTCCAGGGATTTAAGTGTAGAGCACATCTTGCCTCTTTCTCATTTCTTTAAGAAAACTTTGCTTCTCTACTTGGAGGAAATGGTTTAACTAAATTCTATAGTTTGTGAAGTTGAGTGTTTCTGTGCAAGAAAATGTAGTCAGAACCATTCTGTCTACAGTGGCCCTGTGGCGGGTGAGCCTAGAGAGAACAGTCAGGGACTTTGTCGGTTTACCCCGTACACATTTTCCAATTTTGTTTTGTCTTAAAATGAATGTGTATTCTTTGAAAAAAAGATTTAGTGTGCACGGCGTGTGTGTGTGTGTGTGTGTGTGTGTGTGTGTGTGTGTACCCACAGAGACCAGAAGAAGGCATCATTTCTCCTGGAACTGGAATTACAGGAAGCTGAGAGCCACTGATATGGGCGCAATGGGAACTGAACTTAGGTCTTCTCCAAGAATAGCATATGTTCTTAGCCAACCACTGAGCCCATAAATATATATTCTTAACACCAGATGTAGTACTTAGGATGCTCAGGTAGGAGGATTGATGCAGTCGGATTTTTCTTTGGGCCACCAGCTCACAAATACCAACATGAAGACTTATATTAATTCTGAAGGTTCTGCCTTAGCTTAGGCTTGTCTCACCAGCTCTTATAACTTAATTTAACCTGTGTCTATTGATCTACATTTTGCCATATGGCTTTTTACCTTTCTTTCATTCTGAATGTCTGACTCCCTCCTTGTCTGGTAGGCATCTCTTGGCGTAATTCTCATGCCTAGGTTCCTCTTCTTCCGTCTCCCTGGGAATCCTGCCTGCCCTCCATGCCCAGCTATTGGCCATGCAGCTCTTTATTACAGCAATCACAGCAATACATCTTCGCACAGTGTACTAATATTCCACAACAGATTGAGAGTCTGAAAGCAAGCTGCCTACACACACACACACACACACACACACACACACACACACACACACACAGTCAAAACTAGCAAAAAAGAAAGGAAGGTAGGACAAGGCTGGAAAAGAAAGAAAGACAGACTGCAGGGCTGGAGATGTTACTCAAATGAGTGCTTGCCTAACAGAGGTTCGATCCCCAGCAGTGCATAAACTGTGGGGGGGTGGGCCACAACAGCTTGACCACACAACGGCTGTGACAGGCTTAGAGGCCCAGACACAGCTTCTGTGACAGACTGTCAGGCAGCACCTGGATCCAGGAAAAGCCGTGAGCTAACACAGCCCAGAGATCCACCCAGGGATGGGCCAGCATCTAAGGGGAAGTACCAGTCATCCCAAAATGCTCCAACCCTTCCATAAGAGAAGATCACCAGATGTCCCTGAGCCTAGCACACACCTATTTCCCCTTTACAGAGATGCCTACACAAATGTCAGTCAATCAGGGTCCTGAACCCTAGAAATCCCCTCACCCCAACCTCTGCTATGATTAAAAACCCTACCCTGCCTGGGCTCGGAGCTCCGTGCTCTCATGGCTCCGTCGGACAGAGAATCCAAACTCCAAGCTTGAAATAAAGGCTCTCCGCTTTTACATACTGGATTCGGTCTCCGTGGTGGTCTTTTGGGGGTCCCTCCAATCTGGGCATAACAAAACCAGGTGTGATGGTGCACACCCATAGCCCTAGCACTTTGGAGGTAAAGACAGAATCAGAAGTTCAAGGTCATCCTTTGCTACATAGCTAGTTGGAAACCAGACTAGAGGACAGGGAAAAGAAGAGAAAAAAAGGAGGGAGAGAGAGAGATCCTCCACAACAGGCACTACTTTTTACTGACACTTTATTATTTTGAAATGGTTTAGAATTCTTCTACCTCACCTTTCGTGGATATTGTGAAAGGAATGAACTCCTAGCAGCGAGGGGGAAATATTAGCCTACAAGGAGTGCTTCTGTCAGGGAAACAGGCAGACCGTGTCCAACCTATTCTAAGTGACACACATTTTTGAAAAGATGACCCAATTAGAGCACTAGAAATGTGACACATATTCACAAACCGGGCCAAAGCGGAGCACAGCGGAGAGGAAAAGTTGAAAGAGCAAAATTAACCGGGAGAGACAATGCCCTTAGCAGACTTTTAAAGTAACGTTTGAAGCTGGGATTAGCAGGGAAGCATAGCAAGGTGTCCTCAGGCTGAGTTCCGTCATCCTTTCCCATTTTAGGGTGAGTCCCTGCATTTTCCCAGCGAGGACACCAGCGCCTCAGTGTGCTCTTGTGTAAGGAGTCACCTAACAGGGCTGAAATGTGCCTGATGCTCCTAGGACCCTCTGTCCTCACACTGGACCTCAGCAAAAAATCATTAAACCGCAAGACTCTTTCAGGGCAACCCGAAGCCCCGACTCTGGGAGGCTCGGCATGGCCTGTGACAAAACCCTCTGTTAGTGAGATACTCACTGCCGCTTGTGCATGTCTGTTTACACACTCATCACACTTTGTTCATGAACTGCATGTCCATCTTACCTATGTTCTCTACCACAGGCCTCGGGCCCCCAAGGCAGAGCCCCCCCTCCCAACCCCAGATGGCTGCAGTGTGAAGGGGAGGTACATCCTAAATGACCTCCACACCTGAAGCCTAAACTAGGAAGAAAGGCCTCCTGTGAAACCCCAAGAAGGCCTTTACCCTCCGATGGCAGCCTTTTGCTCATTTTGGGCAGCTAACAACCACCTATAAATCCAGCTCCATGGGGGATTTGATGCCTTTGAGGTCTGCAGTCACAGGGATGTACCCACACCCAAGACACACATATTAAAAATAGAATTAAAATGTTTAAAACAAAGCAAGCAGGGTAATGGTGGCACACGCCTTTAATCCCAGCACTCGGGAGGCAGAGCCAGGCAGATCTCTATGAATTTGAGGCCAGCCTGGTCCATAGAGCAAGATCCAGAACAGGCACCAAAACTACAGAGAAACCTTGTCTGGAAAAAGCAAAAAACAAAAAGGCAAAAAAAAAAAAATCTCTTATATGAATTCAAATGACTGCTCTCTGTTTCGGCCCCACAGCATTGAATGAAGAAGTCGCTCATTTTGAAAAGCGAAAGATATTCATTTTGCTGTCGACGGTGATGACATGGGCGAGATCCAAACCTCTGGACCCTGTGAGTGGACTGCCAGCCTTTCCTCACAGTGAGCTGTGTATCCCTACCCTCCTGAACCCCACCCCATCTCAAGCATTCCAGAGTTCAGCAACTCTAGCTACATTCTAATAGAGGGGGGTTTCTTATTTTACACACCACCAAGGCCCGGTGATTTGTGTGTGTGTTGTTTTGTTTTCTGAGACAGCACCTGTATACAGTCCAGGCTGGCCTCAAACTCATTATATAGCCAAGGATAGCTTTAATTTCAGATCCTTCTACCTCTGTATCCAGAGAGCTGGGATTACAGCATTCATGGCCATGCCCAGTTTTTATGTGGTACTAAGACTCAAACCTAGGGCTTTGTGTATGCTTGACAAGCAGTCTGCCACCCAGCTACCCCCACCAAGAACTTTAAAATGCTGTTCAGTGCGCAATGCTTTGGTCCAGGTCTGACCATATCTATGATAAGGGTCCAAGCATTGGTTACTTTTCTCACTGCTCTGACAGAATATCTAACCAAAGCAGGCAGAGGAAGGTTTATTTTGGTATTTTTTAAGACAGAGTTTCTTGGGGCTGGAGAGATGGCTCGATGGTTAAGAACACTGGCTGCTCTTCCAGAGGTCCTGAGTTCAATTCCCAGCAACCACATGGTGGCTCACAACCACCTGTAATGAGACCCGGTGCCCTGTTATGGTCTGCAGGAACACATGCAGGCAGAACACTGTATACATAATAAATAAATAAATCTTAATAAAATAAAATTTTAAAAAAAGATAGGGTTTCTTTGTGTAACAGCCCTGGAACTTGCTTTGTAGACAAGGCTGGCCTCAAACTCACAGAAATCCGCCTGCCTCTGCCTCCCTAGTGCTGGGATTAAAGGGGTGCACCACCACTGCCCAGCTATTTGTTTTTTGAGACAGGGTCTCATTATCTACCCTGGCTGGTCTGGAACTGCTATGCAGACCAGTCTGGCTTTAAACTTACAGGGGTCTGCCTCTGCTTCCCTAGTGCTGAGATTAAGGGTATGCACCACCGTGTCTGGCAGAAGGAGTCGATTTGTTTTGCCTCACTGAAGGGATGTGAACCATCATGGAATAGAAGGTGTGGCGGAGGGAGAGGTGGCTGGTCACAGTGTGTCTGCCATCAGGAAGCAGAGAGAGATGCATGCTGGTACTCAGTTCATTTTCTCTTTTCCATTCAGTCGCGGGGGGGGGGGCATTCTGGTGGCTCTTCCTTCCTCAGGTAGTTCTCTGGAAATACTCTCCCAGGTACGCCCTGGCTCTCCCAGATGTTTCCAAATATGGTCAGACTGACAGTGCAGATGGACCTTCACAGTTATCATGGAGCTAAAGTTCTTACTGCCGATGACACTCTAGCCCTCCTGAAGTCACAGCACAGTGCTCCCCGAGTGCCTGTGCGACATGGGTGTGAGCAAGGCCCCCTGAGAGCCCAGCTCAGCAAGCCAATTATGGTGACACACATGCCCACTAGTGACAGTTATTACATCGTAACCAAATGTGTGCCTTCTCCCAACACTGCTGCTTCTCGGTTGTCACTTGCGGCTGTTCCACAGCCTTTGTGCCGTGTGACAGCCTCTCACTCAGTGAAGAATCACACTAGCATCTCTTCAAGGGACATCAGTCGGTGTGAATAGTCCCAGCCCAATCTGAAGAGATGATGATGATGTCATGGAGGTCGAGACATCCCACTCACCCCCACCCCCAGCCCAGGAAAAGACCACAGACACAATCCAGATTATCATCAGTTAAATATATTGATACCACTTGTAGGACAGCAATCTCTGAGCCAAACTAGAGACTGAGGGAGGTGAGGGAAGGATTTTTAAAGGCAAAAGCCACAATAGAACCTTGATTATCTGCACAAGCAAGCCAAGGCTGTTCTGCTCTGCCAAGGTCAGGTAGTCCAGGCGACCTCAAAATAGTCTTTGATTGTCTGCATAAGCAGGTTATGGATGCAAAGAGAAAAAAAGAAAGTTACTCATATCATAGCAAGAGTGGATGGTCAGGGCTGCATATTTCAGGGTTGGGGATTTCCTTTTCAGCTAATACACTGTCCTCAATGCTTCTGTTTGTGTCCTCTGAGAAACTCTTTCTTTAATGAACCTCAACAGGGAACCCCATCTTCCAGGTGTCATTTGATGGCTCTGTTGGGACTCTCCAAGATTTCCAGCAATAATTCTTTCCTTCCTTTTAACGCCATGAATAGCAGAGAAAATAAACCCATTTCTGCACCCCAGGGCAGGCAAACTGTAAGCCTCACAGTTGTCTGGAACGGAGGAGGAAAATGGTGAAGAAAAGGAACAAAGCCAGGCTGCTTGAGATGAGGTAGCATGGAGGGCAGCCGCCTGGTGGCAGGCACCAAGTGAGAAGGAGGAGGAGAGCTTGGAAGATCAGTATGGAAGCCTAAGTGTTGACTAGGGAGCTAAGAAAGCATCCCTAGGTTCTGGCCAGCATCTCAAAGAAGAGAAGAAGAAGAATTAGCAGGCATACTCAGCCAAACCTCAGGGTGGCCTGGGCTCATGGGGATTGCACTGGAGAGTGAAGATTCTGAAAAGAAAAGCACGTTATCTTAAGGTGAAGGTGCCTTCCTTGGGCTGTCCGCTAGCCAAGTCCTTGACCTGCCTGCCCCATTACATTAATCCTTTAAGAGAGGAAACAAAGATTTGTCTCCACCTAGTGGTAGACTCTATTCATTACATTATGAGTTCCTTCCAATTGGCGGCCCATACAGCCTTGTTAAAACGTAATTCAGATCTTGCTGCTGGCCTGCTGTATGTCCACACTCACATGTGAATATTTACACACATTGTGGATGTATACACACACAGAGACACACAGTTTCACCCCTTCCAATCACCTATAACTGTCGGGATCATCTACATTCCTCAACATGGCCCACAGCCCCGACCATCTGGCTCCTGCCTTCCTCATCTTCTTCCTGTTCCCACCTTGGCTCCAGTCACGTGGAGCAGGATCCCATGTAGCCCAGCGTGGCTCAAACTCACTCTGCAGCCAAGGATGACTCTGAATTCCTGATTCTCCTGCCACTGCCTCTCTAGTACGGGGATTTCCACACCTGGCCCTTTTCTTCCATTTTTGTAATTCACTCCAAATATAGAGCCAGCCGAATAGATTGCGACATGACTTTATGTCCTTAGCTGCGTCCTGTACTTTCCCCACAGAGTCCATTTTAAAGTTGAGAGCGTGTCCTCCCCTCTGCTGGGAACTCTGTGAGAATCTCTTCTTAACTGAACAAATTTGCAGATGTCTTTACTGGCATAGAAAACGTCATTCGTGGGCTCAGGAGATGGCTCAGCTGTTAAATGCCTGAACAGCGGAAGATACCCACACATGTTAACCCGAATGCCTGCCAACACCACATACACACACACACACACACACACACACACACACACACACACACACAGACCACCTTGCTGTTTATATTTAATAGTTTTCTGTATTACGATAATAGGTTTCCCCACTGATGCAGTAAGTCATATCACGCTGAATTGAAAAAGTAAAAGAACAGGTTTATTTGAGCAAAGCAGCTCCCAGGTGAGTCCTCCAGTGCCAGAGATCAAGGCAGGAGAAGTCACACACCCAGACTCAAGCAGGGGGGTTATATAGCACGTAAGCAAGGGATGATGATGTGTCCGCCACAAGCTGGGGTTGTGCCCAAGCGTGGTCAAAAACTGAATGCTTTAGGTGGGGACTTGGGCTGCCGCCAACTTCAGGGCAGGAGCTGCCACAGCCGCCAAGAACACAGATTGGGCTTTTTGGCACCTTTTCTTGGTTGGAGATGCTCTGAGAGGGCGGGGTTTGGAAAGAGAAAGATGGGGCTTCTCAGACCCTGCAGGAGTGAGCTGGAGGCTCCAGCCGAACAATGTTTACATGCCACATAACTCTTACATTGTTTTTTATTTATTTGGTTTTTTTAGAATATGGAAATTTATTTATGTGTTGGCATATTTATTTTTGGTTTTTCGAGAGAGGGTTTCTCTGTGTATTCATGGCCATCCTGGAACTCGCTCTATAGACCAGGCTGGCCTCAGGCTCAGAGATCCACTTGCCTCTGCTTCTCGAGTGCTGGGAGTAAAAGCAGTCACCACCACTATGCCTGCTGTAGGCTTTTGTTTGTTTGTTTGTTTTTAAATTCCTCAATGTCCTTGATCACTGGACATGTCAGCCTCCATCGACTGTACCATATATGTATTTTTTTTTCACATTTTGAGATTAGGACTCATTATATAGCCCAGGCTAGCCTGGAACTCACAGAGATCTGTCTGCCTCTGCCTCCTGAGTGCTGAGAATGAAGGCATGCGCCACCACTCCCTACCCATGTTCTCTGGTAATAATTCATTTCTTGTCTTGAATTAGCACCTTTCTTAGTTTACAGGCACAGCATAGTTTAGAGGTTTCATACACTCTGGTTACTGCAGCCACAGAAGGAAAGGGCTTCCACAGAAGGTTTAAGGCTTCCAGGAACCAGGTTAGTAACTATAAATGCAAAGTGGTAGTGTTGCATTTGTTAGTGTAAACTGGGCATGGTGGTCCATGACTGTAATCCCAGGACTGAGGAGGTGGAGGTGTTAAATCTGAAAATTCAAGAAAAAAGACCAAATCCACAAATTGTCCAGTTGAGGTAAGCTTTTTGAATATTGGCCAGGAAGATGGACACAGATCAGGTTCATACCCTGGACTCCCAGAAAACGGTATTGAATTATTTTAGTCAGATGCTTTTTTTTTTTCAGTCAGATGCTCTTAAAGGCCCAACCCACAAGGCTTCCCTTAGAAGTCTTTGCTTCCTATTGTCATCCAATCAGAGGCAAGCATACATCCTGTTGTACATCCTGCCTAGTCCCTCCCACCTACACATGATCAAGCACATCCCGTGCATTTGTGGCAACCAACCTTGTTTATTGAAATGAACACATGGCCGGGGGGTGGGGGGTGGGGGGGTGGCAGCAGCGCATGCCTTTAATCCCAGCACTCGGGAGGCAGAGGCAGGCGGATCTTTGTGAGTTCGAGGCCAGCCTGAGCTACCAAGTGAGTTCCAGGAAA